TTGGGCGTTTTTTTCCCCTTTGAATTTTTTTTGTTTGTGCTTTTTTTTTTTTTTTTTTTTTTTGGCCTTTTCGTATATGGAATACTTTGATTGAAATTTTAGCTTGTTTCGGCTCCTTAACTAATCTTGTTACTATTTAATCCCCTTTGTGAATTATGTCATAGAATTTCATTTCCAATGTAAATGATGAAATATGTTAACTTAAATAATGCTATGTTCTATCCCATATGCTACTAGATTACAGTAATTTTCTGTATATTCATTCCCCGTGGAGTGTGGATATAACAATATGAACTATGCCTTGGCAATATTAACTCGTGTCAGTTGAATGGAGCACATTTTTCAAAATGATGTCCTTTTAGTTGTTTATGCCGAAATTCTCATTGCTCTTTGTTGTTTGCAACAGGTTCTAGTGATACACATGTTGAACTAACTACTATTTGTGAAATCTTCGAGGCAAAGCTAGCTGAGTAAATTAGCCTTTCAGACTGTGTTTTTATGTACCTGGCTTCCGGAGTTTAGTATCGCTGTGAGAGACTGTACCTAATTTCATTCACCTATGTGGCCTTTATACGTCTTGTTTAACAAGGCTTTTAGGGCAGAAGAGGATAGAGTATCAGAAACAGAACGTTTGGGTTTCTTTGAATACTTCCTGCGCGAACAGCCTTCTGGTAATGGCACATCGTGCGGTTCTGCCTTGTGCCGTTCACGTTTTATAGAAGTGAGTCAACTGTGATTTTTTCCTTGTCTCTTTTGCTGATACCCCATTTGGGATTATGAACTTTGCCGTGTTTGTCCATTGAAGTAAAGTACCTACCAAAATGGTGAAATTGCTGAATACTATGGTGCTTATAGGTTCCACACATAAATCAGTTATACTATTGGGATTGTGGCCTCGCTTGTGTTCTGATGGTTTTCAGAACTGTTGGTATCAACAGCCACAACATCAAGTCAATCGCTGAGCTTTGCTGCACTACGAGGTAGTTCGTTGAAACTTTGATTCCTTGTTCTATATGTAACTTCTTTTCGAGGATGCATCTTTTGATTTATTGCTTGAAAACCTAGGTACATGATTCTGTTGGTAGCTTAAGTGTGTCAAGTCCTCACCATCTTTCTCTGAAAGGAAAAAAGAAAAAGATCCTCACATCTTGTTTTATTATCTTATTGTTTCCAAATTTGCATCTCATTTTGGTTTATTTGGGTTAATGAGAAGTTTTCAAACCTAAATTGGTTTGGAAATGTTAAAGACTTGGGATAAGATTTTGCTGGATTTAGATTAACACACTTTCCATTCTCTATCATATGGATGCAACTTAAGTTATTCGAAGCAGTGAGCAAATCCTACAGAAGCTCCAACTTTTGTCATGTTTTTGCTTTCTTGCTTATGCTGTAGTTAGTGGACATGATTAATTGAAATTCACGGTTTAAAGTAGTTGTTAAACTATCAAACATGATCTTTGTTGCTCAAAGGATGTAATTGTCAGTCTGGTGATTGCAAGCCTTAGGTTGTATGTTAGTTTGCATTCTCTCTCTCTATGTTTGCTTGTCTTGAACTAGCATCTGAGCATTTTCCTTTTGCATTTTCTCAATTTCTGTATACATCAATGGTCTCAAATGAGGTCAATTATATAGTTCTCATGCAATTTGAGTTTAAGGATAGTAACACCCGTAAACATAACTTTTTGATCGTTTAAAAGTCTTAAAAGGCCTAGGTTACATAAAACCTGAAAGTATACCACATGACCGATGCTTTGACAATACACCAACTATTTTTCTTGATAGTTCAATTAACAATAAACAAATGAGTTTGTGTTTAGCCCTTGTGCTGGTCTTGTGGGTACCACACTTGTTGGTAACTTGGAATATAGTCGAGTATTATTCATTTTTCTACGAATATTTGCTTAAGGCCACATTTCGGTATGCCACACTTGTAGGTAACTTTAGTCGAGTATTATTCATTTTTATATGAATATTGGCTTAATGCCACATTTCTGCATATAGTTGATGCATCCATCCCTAATAGATAAAACGATATCGGAAAATTTTTATAGAACTCATTATTGGTACCTTGTGCGCAGCATTTGGACCGTTGATCTGGCATACATATTGCAGAAATTTTCCGTCAGTTTTTCCTACTACACAGTGACATTTGGAGTAAATCCAAATTATTCTGTTGAGACCTTCTACAAGGTGATTAACTGTTGTCCATAGAAATTTTTAGTGGCTATGTCATGTATTTGAAAAATACCTCACTAACAAATTCTTGTGTTATGTCAAAAGATTTATGTGTCTGTATCTTGAAAAACAACTCTCCTTAAAGTCTCTAGACACTGAAATTCTGATTGCCGTTTCTTTTTCTTTGTTGTTTAAGGTGTTGTTTCATGCAGGATTCTCCAAGATTTATGGTTTCTCATAGTTGATTTACTCCTTTGTTTTTTGCTTCCTTGTATAACTCATACATTCAGTTTGTATATGTTGCAGGAACAATTGCCTAATGATCTTTTACGAGTTGATACGTTATTTAAAAAGTCACTGGAAGCTGGAATTAACATACAGGTATAAACCATATATTTGAGTGTGTAATCCTTTAAGATAATCGTATTTGAATTATATAGTAAATTGTGACTATCTTGGCTTATCTACTTGCAAGAAATATAAAAAAACATATTACCTATAACGCTCTTGGTTGTCTTTTACAGTGCAGATCAATCAGTAGAGAAGAAATTTCTCGTTTGATCTTGTCTGGGAAATATATTGCAATTGCACTAGTGGACCAACACAAATTTAGGTCTAATTCTCTTGTAATCTCCTCTACCTTTCTCTTTTCTTCTTCTGCAAGTTTATGTTTGTCCTTAATTTTTTTTTCAGTTTTTAAGACATTCGTATTAAAATAATTATTCACTCATTACCGTATGGTCATTGACCTTTTCATCTTCCCCTCTTGTGAAGTCTTTTGTTTTCTAGAAAGAGATTACATATATGATTTGCTAATTTCAAATATATCTGCCCTAATTTAGAAAGAGTCTTGGTTGAAGGATGTATTTATGACAGACTTCACCGGCAGCAATTCTAATTACACTGGTAAGTAACACTTCTTTTTTTGATGTAATATAACTAAGTCTGTTGATGTTCAAAACTGACCCAACACCACGTGCGGAGGCGCACGGTGATCGGACTTGGCTTCTCCGCCTCTTCTTTCGTTATTATTGGTTTGAACTCGTATTTTGATTAGGTCAAAGCTTAACAATTTTGTTCATTACATTTGTTTTTAAGTCCATGCCATAATGTATGTTTCTGTATTTAGTTTATGTCTGCTTCGTATGGATTTCGATATTCGTCACGTATGTTCTTTTTTTTATAGGTCATTATGTGATTATATGCGGCTATGACTCTCTTACAGATGAGTTTGAAATCAGAGATCCTGCCAGTGCTAGGTACTTTTTGCATTTGTTTCGCAGTTTGCTTCTTTATCTATTGTGCTAAAAGTACTGAGGAAGACTCCGATGTGCTAAAATATTGCAGATGATGTAATATCAAATTAGATGGATATGAGTATGACCTTTCAAGCAAACTTTTCTCATTGTCGCATCTTTTAAGTTCTTACTTGCATGAACTTATGGATTAACAATCACTTTTCACATATTAGTCTGTTACTCTTTACTCTTTTGAGCTAGTTACTTTCAATTATCTTTTTGAGCTTCTTTTAGCTTATGTTGGAAGCAACAAAATGAATGGTGCAGGAAGCACGTTAAGGTCTCGTCCGATTGCCTTGAGGAAGCCCGCAAATCCTTCGGTACTGATGAGGATCTTCTCTTGGTAATTTAGCTCGTCTTTCCTCATCATCAAACTTTGCATACTTTTTCTACTACAACACCATGATTTACCAATCTATTACACTCTAGCTTAGAACATAACAATAACAATAGGGATTGATTTTACTAATGTCTCGCTGAACTTTAGGTCATTTTCAGTTTCTCTTAACTTTAAGAACTCTCACTTTGTCCCCCTGAATTTTAAATTAATGTCATTTTGCAATTTCCATTAAGAGTTTCTTTTAAAAAACATACGAGGAAAAAGGGCGTAGTGCAATCACGTGGTCTTTCTATTAGAATTTCTGTTAAAAACATATGGAAAAATACTATGTGACCACAGTAAACACCTTCTTTTTCCGTCTGATTTTAACATTAATTCTAACTAAGGGGGTTAAGCAAGACTAAAGCAAAATTCGAAGGGCAAAATAGTAGTTTTTAAAGTTTGAGAGGCAAACTTAGAATGACTCCAAAGTGTAGGGGGATCAATCCTAATTATAATAAGGATAAATTATAAAAATTCTCCCTGAATTATATCCGTAGAAACACTTTACTCCTGATCTTTAAAACGTAACATCCGTTCTCCTTGAACAATGAAATATTAACAAAAAAAGCCCCCTCCGTTAGGTTTTTAACTGAATATGACATTTAATTGGTTATTTTAAGGATATGCTGATACTTATATGGTTTAAAATTTAATTTGAATTTAAACTAATTTAAATATTCAAAAAAAAACTTCATAAATTTTTTTTTATTCTACCAAAAAAGATTTATAAAATTTTTAACTTACATTCAAACAATAATAGATATAACATAATTAAAACTTTAAATTTAAATTTGTTTTAAAATTAAACTAAATTTTAAACCATTGATTTATTAAAATACCCCAAAAATAACAAATTAAATGTCAATTTCCGTTAAAAAAAACTCAACAAATGGGTTTTTTTGTTAACATTTCATTGTTCAGGTTAAAACTTAACATGTGTTACGTTTTAAAGATTGGAAGACAAAGTGTTGCAAAGAGCATAGTTTAAGGGGATTTTTGTAATTACCATTTGTTGCCAAAGGATCACTTGTCTTGTATGAATAGTTGAATCCTAGTACAATGTCCAGTAACTAAAACGATCTTATATTAGACGGCAAAATTTTGCTCAAACACTAGTTTATGTTCATGCAGATTTCTTTGGAGAAGAGTGATGAGCAACTTAGCCCCGACAGATAAGTCCCTTCTCATATCAAAATTGGTTCTTGAAATTTTCTTGGACCTTGATCTGTACAGTCAGCCTGTTATTTTATATTTGTACATCGAGAAATAATATTTTACGTTTTGATTGTGATCCCAGCTTGAATCATAGCTTTTTGGTTTTATGCTTGGGATCACATGCGCTGATCTTAGAAATATATATTTATATGATAGATTAAGTTTCAATATTGTCTGTATATTTTACCTTGTAATTGTTTTATAAATTCACGTATTCTTTTGTAAGGCTGTATTTATCCAGATCCTTATGTCTTATGTTGCCTTCAATAAATTAAAATGTTTTATGGTTTGTCTTGGCTGGGTTTCCCACCGAATGTTCCTTTTCCACCACTCATCTTTATTCCCCCAACTTATACACAAGAATAATGTCGGGCTCACTATTTTATAACTTTTTAATACGATGTAACTTGTCCTTTTTTTTAACAGATTTTTAAAATTTTCGCTACTTTAATTAATACCAAAAAGAAAATTTGTGGGAAAAAAAAAATTCAACTCATTGTCAAGTAAATGGCATTAAAAAACTGGGAAGCTTACACTACACTTTTTATAAATACATAAAAGGGTTAGGCTACACTCTCCACATGTTCAAGCTAAGTGCATGAATCCAATTTATGTTTTTAAAAGTGTTGGGATTTTCTTTTGTCTAGTTCTAATCATATAAAATTTGCACATATTCGTTAATAAGGTTAGATTTGTCAAAATTAACTATGCAAAAGACTTTTTGCAAGAAGGAAAAAAAAAAAGACCTCTAAAAGAAAGAAATTGTGCATTTGTTTTTTAGGATAATAACTTTGTTGAGTACTTTCTGATTTCTTTTATTTATTTTATAGAGGATAATTGCGTTGCCTAGGCCTAACAATAAGGGTGGATTCTGTGTGATAAAAAAAAAAGGTGGAATCTGTCTAATCAGAAAAATAGAAGGGATACTCTGAATGTTTAAGAACACGTACACAAACAAATTCTTGCATTTGGATCAAGGTTTAACATTTAACATTTTTAACATCAGAAAATTAGAGGGGATACTCTGAACGTTTAACATTTTTATTGGTAATCTATCATTTGTTGTCCCCTTGAAATAAGATTTTAATTTCGATGATATTCTGTTCCCTAATTTTTCAATGAGTAACACAATTCATAAATTAGGTTGGGCTAAACACCACAAATCCATCAATTGGATTGACTTATGCGAAGAAGAAACATAATTACAAAAACCGCCACAATCATGTCATCACACTATTTTTAAAATGCTAAATATACCCTTAAAATACTAATCACTATCCAGTGTCATACTAGTATCCGATTGGTTACCGATTAGTACTACTATGATACCAGTCGATATCCACCTTGATACCGGTATCCGGCGGTGATACCACACGGTATCCATCAGAAACCATTGTTATTGGCAGTGCCAAAATAATAGTAAATCACAAAAAATACATGAATAATTTACAAGACATTTCCAAATAATCCATGTTTTGAAACAAAACAAAAGAAAAAAATCAAAACATTATAGAAAGTTTGCAAAATTCAAAAGAGAAAAAAAAATCCACTTTGCTTTGTGAATTTGGCCACGGTGCTATTAACAGCAAGATGCGTCGATGGACAGGGTCAAAACAATGGAGGAGATCTCTGTTGGGAGATCAATAAAGGTTGGTAGGAGAAGCTTGACATCCGTTCTCCACCAAGGGGAAGAGATTGCGCGGAGATCTTAGATTCCTACGTTCACTAGTGAGCACTAGTGGCTCGCACGCCATGCGCCGCGAAGTTTGGCAACTAGATCTTTGTGCATTGTCACTGGTTCCGCAACTCCGATAGAGTTAGCTGGAAGGAGGAATAAAGCGAGAGAAGGAAAAGGGAAAG